ATTTTATTTGGTATTTTAATCATTGCAGACAAAGTATATTGGGCTGAAATACAGAAGTACAGTAATACTAATTCTAAGAACACGTCTCATTTTGCTGATTGATTTTCGAGGAGGACAATAGATCAAGCTCTTTGTGGCATAAGTTAAATGTAAAGAAAGTTTGAAATATACAGTTACCGTTCAATGCCAGACAAGTCTTATGATTTTTCTGGTATCATTTATTTGGAATCTCCATCATGACAGGACTTTAAAAGTCACTGTATTTTGATATTGCTTACAATGACAAGTGAGATTGACCTTTAACTTGACAGGTGAAGGAAGCTGATATCTCTGTCCCAATGGTTTTTGGACATTATTATTAAATTCTGTGAAACTTGTGTTATTTATTTTTATGTCATACAATTCCTGGGATCAACTAAAGAGTGCTGATCTCTAGCAGAAACCTGATTTGCCTGAAACCATGTTAGGCATGTGTTTTATTCTTGTGTGGCTTTGCAAGTTAAGAAAACGTTAAGAAAAATAGTTGAATTTATGTGTGCTTTGTTTTCAAAAGGTCACAATTTGACCTTTGACACTTGATGAAAGGAGTTGAGTTGGTGATTTAAAAAAAGAAGCTTCGAGGATGTACACACACCATGTCATACCTAACATGAGAAGTTAGCTACAATTTTAAGGAATATTTTAGCATAAACATTGCATACTGTCTCTGAAATTCATCTTATGGAATGAAGTAGTTTACTTTAGCTGGTGCATAAATTATGACAACAGTGAAATCCTTTACCTGATTTTAAAAAAATGTTTCATGAACCTCTGCTACCTTTTTCAGAGTGAAGTGTGACCTTCTATTCTTTATAATGTGTTTTTCTTATGTGTGGCACTTAGGAAAGAAAAAAAATGTTTCAAATACAGTATACCAATTAAATGAATTGACTCAATTGATTAACAACTGAATTTATACTGTGCCTTCCTTAAATGTAATTTAGAAAATGAAACTTTTTTGACAACCTGTTTCTAAAAAAATCGTTTTAAATTGACAGTATATTGGATTTAAAATAAATTAAATACTGCTGATAGAGTTGAAAACCTCTCAGTGTTGCATAAAATAACAGGTGACAGAGACCTTGAGCCTGGCAAAAAAGAAAAGGAAAAACTGGAGAAAATTCAGAAGAAGATAGGATCAAACACAAATATGACATCCAAAAAATGAAAGTGAAACAATCAAAAGAAATCCAAGAATGTCAAATAAGTATTTGGTGACTCTACTTGTGACATCAAAGGTCTGAGAAGAATAGAGTAGGTGTAGCTGAAGTCGACGACAATACTGGCTGTCTTCCTGCAGTGACACAATGTATTTTCTTCATGTGAATTTATTTAGGTAGATTTCAAAGAGGCTAGCCCCTTCGTTCTTTATGTTTATTACAGATTGTGTCATTGCCTCACCAGAACAGAGGAAGTTCCCTTTGTTTTGGTATCACACTCTGTGAAAGTGAAAGCAGGAACGCCCCATAATAAAACTGCACTCAGAAATCTCTTTTCAGTGGGGTGTTCTCACAACGTTCATTCCACTTCTAGACCCCAAAAAGAAATGTTTATGTCTGTCGACAAGCCATTGGCTTGAAACAGAGCCAACGTTCAGACATCCTCTCAACAAATTAAACTCTTGCCTTTCCGTGATTTTTCAAAGCATTTGGTTCAGTAAGCTTTCCATCTGCACACCTAAATCAGACACGTCCAACAGCTGCAGCTCAGCCATGAGTGGCACCACAGCTGATCTAACGAGACACAATGACTCTCAAACCTGACAAGTCACTCCCTATAGGTTTGTAGACAATATTCTGAAATGACAGAGTCACACATGACAATAGGACTAGTACCTCTAATAATATTATTATTTTATTCATGATTATTTTTCATTCATGCATCCATTTTCTAACCACTTCATCCAATTTAGAGTCATAGGGACTGTTTTTCAAAAATACTCAGATTCAGCTTCATTCAGTACTGTATACACATACTCATTATTTGTAATGCTGTCATTATGTTACATAAATCCAGGGTATACCAAAAGCTTTCTGTTCTTTTATATGTAATTTGACTTATTTATGTGTTAGGCTGGTGAGAAGTAACCATCAGTGACATCAAGATGGGTCCGTGCTTCTGTTTTCCAGTTTTAAAATATCCACTCTTTACATTCAACAAAATAGTTTGGATTGCAGTAGGAATTTTCACTTGTGTGAATTTTAGTGTGGAAATATTTCCCAATATTGTAAATATTTCTATAATATTCATAATATAATATCTGATCTGACAACTGTAACGGGAACCAGTTCAGACTCCCATGTAGTGCGTATTTAGGACCCTATGCAGACGGTAAAATCCGGAAGAGACTGGAGAAGGGCAACAGGGAAACACGGAAAGATCAAGACAGGATGACTGACAGGGGGGCATGACGGCGGTGTTCCGATGTTCGGGGGGCGTGGAGCAGGCGAACAAATCCAAAACAATCCTGAAGGGCAAACCAGCAAGCAGTCCAAAAGTCCATATCCGGGATATCTATCCAAACAGACACAGGAATGGGGGTGAGGAATCAGGATCAAGGAAGTTAAATTCATAACGGACCCAGACGGTCAGGACACCAGGGAATAAGACCTGCCCTCGGGCTACTCATGAGCCCTGGGGGGCTCTCTTTGACATCATGCACTTGAGGAACAGAGGGCAACAGAGAACATTCTGGCAGAAAAGAGTCACTACTGTCATCTGGAACAGCAAATACAGACAGAAACAGAGGGAATTTGACTGAGGACTGTACCCACCATGTAAAACAAATTTCAGATATCTCTGTTAAATGTGATTATCTCTGGCACTGCTGACATTCATCTTTAACTCCATCATAAGAACATGAAAGGGCTGTCTGATAATCTCTTGGGTGATTTTCTGTTCTGCTCACAATCCTCATCCAAACTTGAATTGAGTTTGTTCAGATTTGATCTAGACCACTCCAGACCACTCTTTTTTTTTTTTGATCTGACATCCGTCTGTGAAGAGCCTCTGTATAAACTACTCCAGCAATTAAACAGAAGATAAAGGAAGGACATGCCACTGAGGAAACCACAGAAGAAGGGAGGGGTTCCATCCCTGTGATTGCTGTAGTTCTGCTTTGATTCACTTGGTGCACTTGGTGTAGGATAAAAAAAAAAATCTTTCAGCACTGCAAAGAAGCTGAAAATTCATTATTGAAAAACAGTAATAACTGACTGACAAAGCAATAGGCGTTACTCTAAAGTATTGACTTTTTTTGAATGTATGGATGTTTTGTCTTCTTTTGAAGTGTAAGCAGCGCAGTTCAATATCATCTGACAAAAATGTCGCTTTCTATGGAAATCATCAAATTGCCATCATTCTCAAAATGCCACCGACTGCAGTTTCAGATGGCCGCCCATCTCTGCTGTTTATTAAAGTGTGAACCATCTGAAGCTGCGTAACGTGGAAAAAAACTGAAAAGGAGAAATATCTTGTCAATTCTAATTAACTTTATCTCAGTCCCATGAACACATGGCACAATATTGGCAAGTGATTTGCAATACATACTACAATATGTACAATATTAGTACAGTAGTACTAATGGGAATCAAGACCAACAAAACAACAAAATGTAGTAGCTCTTACGTTTGCCTCTTACCGTGGAGAAGACATGTCGTCTGAGTACACATTACTTTTTTTCGACAGGTAAATAAAAAGTTGATTTAAAAAATAAAGACACGTGTTGTTGTCTTTCATATTAGCACTGCTTAACTTTTGCGATACCTACTGTAACGAGTATGAAAATGGGTAAAAGGAATGTTACTTTTTCGAAAAGCATTCAAATGTGATAGATTCTGAATGATCTTAATCAAAACCAATGGAATGATTTTAATCGTTTGTGTGCAGACCCAGTTCCAGTGTCGTGGGGATGAAGAAAAAGGCACAACTGCTCGGGTGACAGGCTCCACTGAGTTAATTCATCAGAGGTTTTCAAAGCGGTTTTGAAGTAGCCAGTGCTCTTTGATCTTCTTAATCTTCCGGAACAGTGAATATTTTTTTCAGGTCGTGTTCTAAATCATCTCTCCACAGAACGATGAATAATTTGTATAAATGTATTCTAGCAGCATGTTAGTGGGGCCAGTAGGGGGCACACACCCTGCGGTCTGTGTGGGTCCTAATGCCCCAGTATAGTGATGGGGACACTATACTGGAAAATACAGGTGCCTTCCTCCAGATGAAACGTAAAATCGAGGTCCTGACTCTCTGAGGTTATTAGAAATCCCAGGGAGTTTCTCGAAAAGAGTAGGAGTGTCACCCTGGCATCCTGGCCAAATTTCCCATTGGTCCTTACCAATGGGAAATTTATCAACTGGTTTCATTACTCTGTTCTTCTCGCCACTAATAGCTGATGTGTGGTGAGCGTTCTGGCGCACTGTGGGGCTGCACATTGGTGGAGGGGATCCCCATTACCTGTAAAGAGCTTTGAGTGGAGTGTCTATAAACGAGCTATTTAAGTGTAAGGAAGAATTATTATTATATTAGTTGTATTAACAGACCACAAAATTAACAGACCAAACAAAGTAACACTTGAGACATGTTTATCTGCTTTTCTTCCACACGTTTTGAGTGGTGTTGAATATGGATAGAAAAAAGAACAGGTGTTGTTTTGTTAAGGCGACGTTATTATGTGTGGTGATTTAAGGTCTGTTTTCGGCATCTGCTTTTACTCGAATAATAAAAAAAGTCGATTCTGTGACTGACCTTTTGTCATTGTGTCATTGCAGTAAAATTGAGTTGGCTCTGTGACGCTTTGTTGTGCTCACCAGCTGAGAACAAACTGGTTCAAAGTTAAAACAGCGTCACACTACAGTACTTGTTCACGACGTCTAGAAACATATGGACTCAAAAATACAATGCAATGCAATTCACTAGTTTCTTTTCTCATGTGAATAGCCAAGGGTTCATACACTTTTTAAGACTTCAACTGTTGAAAACGTGATGCGCTGCATAGGCTTTCGTCTTGCGCAACACTGGCAAGCGCCACTAAACTCGTGACTTTATTTCGCTCAGTCGGCAAACAAAAAAACACTTCGCCTCCAAGTCCAGCTTCCTCCCAGACTAAACTTTCGGTTTTAAAAGTGATACACTTATGTAACCCCGAGCACCTGATCTCCGTGTAAAGAAGAGCTCATACGACGTGCAGTGTATCCGCCTATCGAACCGGGCAGGGATGAAAGGAGCTTGCTCATTTGTCAGGGATCAGCTCAATCACACCTCTTGCTGTTCGGGAAGTAGGCAAACAGCCGCTGCAGTCAGCCCGAAGTGGGTAAGAAAGTTTTGTTTGCTTGTCTAGTGGCTTGAGATCGAAATGATTCTTAGTTGAAAATGCGTGGATTGGCGATATGTGCCTGGAAACGGACGCTGCTCCGTTTGTCTTGCACCTAAATCTGCAAGTGGAATGAGGCACTTCACGGGACAGACTAAAGGCTCTTAAAAATAACTTTATGAATGCTGTATTCCCTAGTAGTCACCATGGTTTGGCGCATTCATTAAAACAGTGTTTAAGATTGTATTTCATGCGTGTTGGTAGCTACTAGGCGGAATGCACAGTAGCTGCGACACTTCTGTGAGTTGTGCAGCGGGCACTTGTCAGTGTCCCGGTTGTGGTTGTGTCAGTACAGCGAGAACAGTTGTGGTAGGCAGGGGATTGTTATCGAGAAACTCAACGCCATCCACAGATTTGTAATCTAGTTATGAAATGAAAATGTTTTCTCGTAAAGAAGAAACCAGTGCATTTGAAAACTTTGTTTCTAGTTAATACCGACCTTTTCTGAGTTAAGAGATTAAAGTTTCATACAGGGACCGAACAAAGACAGTTCGATTTTAAAGACATTGTAATTTGTATGACGTAGTTTATCAGGTCTGCCACATTTAGTGAGATAACACATTAAACAGTTTGTATAGCTTATTGAGATGGTCATAACATGGAATAACCAAACCAATATTGGGTGCAGACTTTTTGTACAGAGATTTGTAAGGACTTCTGATGATCAGGGTAGTGTCTGACTGTGCAGGCTGACCCAAGATCACCCAAGTGAAGACTGGACTGGAAGAGGGACACCCCAGTGTTTTTGCAATACAAGGACAAGACGGTGAAAACAAAACCATGGAAGCCACCAGGAGGAGGATGAGTCTGAGGGAAGACCTGACCTGCCCCATCTGTTATGAGCTCTTCACCGATCCTGTGATGCTAGGTTGCATGCACCACTACTGTAAGGGCTGCATCACGGCCTTCTGGAGGCGGGCGAGAGGCCCTGTGTCTTGTCCACAGTGTCGCCGCGAGTTCCCCAGCAAGAGCTTCCAGACCAACTACCTTGTGGTGGGCATGGTAGAGAAAGTCAAGACCAGGAGCACTGAGAGCTACCAGAGGACCATGCAGGTATGGGCAGGGTTTCTTGTCCTGTGTGTTGTATTGCATGCTGGTGGTCTCCGAACCCGTTCAGAAGAGTTCCAGTGTAGCATACAGATTATGCCTTCCCCCACTTTCTAAAGATCGTGTTAAATCTGACTAATGAGGCCTAACTGCTTACAGTGAAATCCTGAAGATCTAATAGCAGGATTTGGGGATGTGTTATTAGGAGATTCAGGGAATGTTTTCACTTGTCTAGAGAACAAAAGGGAAATTAAAGGGCATCAAATATTTTAATTCTGATTCTTCTTTTAGACTTACCGTGGCTCAGAGGCCACAAAGACTTCCGGTTGCTGTTCTAGCTGAATTCCTGAACTCCTAACTCGGGGCTGTCCAATCCTGGTCCTAAAGGCAGGGCATGCCCGAATGTCTTCTAGGTCTCTTTTAAGCAGAAGTACTGGGAGAGTGGGGAAAAGCTGTTAAAGTGGTCCAGTTAGTCCAGTAACCAGCTGGTTTACTTTGTGAGGAGTAGAGCAGATACGCTAGCTCTCTGGGACTGGGGCAGAGCTCCAATTATTCTGTGTGACGGAGGGAGATTTTGAGAGACCAGTAGAATTCCAGGGTATGGGTTCCTTCATAATTTGGTTTTATTTGTTTGTTTGTTTTTTTAAATAAAAGATATATTAGTTATCTCCTAAACGCAGTTGTGTGTTATGAGGTGAAATGTGGATTGGGAAGACTCATCCGAACATCCGAAGTCCATGTGAACTGACCTTGAAGTACATGTATTGTCTGAGCCTGTGTATGTAAATGAAAAAATGGAACAAAGGAAAGGGCTAAGTGCATTGTCGGTCATGGGTATGAGTTGTTTCTGGTGTTTATAACATGCATTGTTAAGCTTCATTACTTTATTGTAAACAAAGATAAAAGCTTTGGCTACTTAAAATTCATTGTATGATTTGAGCTTATCTTCCTGTTTTATAATAGAGTGATAAAAGATATTTACCTTTTACCTGCTAGAAATGGGAGAATATTATCTCAGCTACACCATGTGACTTGTCACTGAGAAATTGGAAGGGATTTCTTTTTCTTTGATCATTTGCATGCTGGAGCTAGCCTATTGAAGAGAAATACAAATGAGCAGGCAACAGTGCCTTTTTTTCTGCTTGTGTCTCGCATAGAAAAAACTGAAAGATTCCCTAGAGTCTCATCTGACCAAGAAGGAGGATTTCCTAAACAAGATAAGGCGCAATGAAGAGAAAATGGACATTGTGAAGGTGAATATCTTGGCTTCTGCTTGGGTATTGAGTTGGGAGCAGAATCCGAGTGCAGACTGCAAATGAGCAAATAGATTAATTCCACAGCTCTACTTGTTTCTCTTCTTGGATATTGTTTGATTCCATTAAATCACCTCTTACTGCTTTTCCCGTTGCTCAGTGCATTTAGGAAGATGTCAGGTTAATAGAGTTACACGGTCATCATCAGCACTAGTCTCTGAGGTTGCATGACCTTCGGCGATTGGCTCAGCCCTCGAATACCCTATTCTTTGTTTTATTTGGACACATTTAATGCCTCCCTGGCCTTAATCTGTGGGTAACAAAAGCAAACTGTTAGGAAATGACGGATGACCCACTAGTGTGACTTTGCAAGGGATACTTGCATGGTTTTCATCCAGGCTTTTAGTTGGACCAATTACCTGTGAATTCATCAAGGTTTAACACTCTTGGTGTTTTATAAATACCAGCCAACTGTGGCTGTTTGGTCCTTGATTACCTTGCAACTACCCATAAGCATCTGTCGAGATGAGATGGAGCTACAGCAGAGCCTTGCCTCTGTTGCATGGAGCCCATGTTGGATGTGCCTCCTTTAGATTTTAAAACATCTTGGCCTTAGAAATCGTGGAGCAGATACATCCTGCCCAGCTGATCTGACTGTCCTGCCCACAGAGAGCAGGAACTAAGCTGCAGGACAGGGTGAAGGAGGAGTTCCAGGCCTTGCACCAGGTCCTGCTCAGTGAGGAGATGGCCATGCTGGAACAGTTGAGGGTGGAGGAGGAGAAGATGCTGGGGGAGCTGGGCAGACACCTGGAGGAGCTGAAAGGGGCCGTGAGGAACCTGGAGGAGAGCATCACAGCGTTGCAGCAGAACATTGATTCCATGGAGAACAGCGGGCTGGAGGAGGTGACCTTTCAGTTCTGTTTCGATTCCGTTTCGATGCCGTTTTAATTTCACATCGCAGAGATTCACGCCCTCGGTTTCCAACTCCCTCTTGATGGTAAAAACCACATGAGTGTTGGAATCGCCAACTGGAGGATCACCAACTCAGATGTGTTCTGCCACATTGTAATCGTGCTGTAAATTAAATGATGACTCCAGCTATTTAACTGAGCGCTCCGGTGGAACACAAGCCAGGAGACACCAGGTCCTCTGGGAACTGATTCCAAGTCTCCTATTGGAATTTTGTTTCTGGGGTCAAAGGGCACTAGAGAGGGGAATGTCACGCTGCTCTGTACAGAAAATGAGACCTCTTGAAAACATGGTTAAATAGACTTGCTGGAAAAAGCTGTGTTAACTACGGAAACAAAAAATGACAGGAATGCTGTTTAAATGACGACAGCATGACGTGCGCTATGACCCACAGCACAGTGTCTTTTCCACCCCCCTGCTTGTTCTTTATCACGATTTCCTTGCTTGTTCCACCTTTCACGTTTGCACCCAAGTTCTTTTCTTTTCTGGCTTTTCATCCTGTTTTTTTCCCCTGATTCCTTTCTCTTCGAGCTGATTGATGGGTTATTTCGTTTAAAAAAAAAATACCTTTACCCCTGTGGGTTTCTGTCATTCCATCAGATTGCTTTTACTGATGGTTCTGTGGCTTCCTGCTGACAAGTGTCTGCAGTGATGTCTTGCTCACCTGCGATTGCAGCCAAGGAAATTGTTCATTTAATTGCAGTATGCAATATGGCATTAGATGATCTTTTGCAAATTAATAGCATAGCATGTGGCTAATGGAGAGAGTGGGAGATGATAATCCTGATTAATATGGTTATAAGGGCACAACAGTAGCATGATGGTCACCGGTGTCTTATTGCACCATCACATGCTGCTGTCATCTTTGCGACTCTGAAGAAAGCTCTCACTGAGTTATCACCCTGACAGTTTTAATACAATTTTAATTGTGACTGCACTTTTGATTTTGTTAGGAGGGTACGAATTTGGTGGTTAAAAAAATAAGGCTTTTGCCCGTGAGCGCGGTGTGAAAAGGAATGTAAAAAGAATGCAGCATGTTGTCAAGAAAAACAACCTGCGCTCCCCTGCTGATCATGTGACAAGTGTTCCTTTAGCATGGCAAAAAGAACATGTATCCAAAATGTGTTTCAAAGTTTTGTTCACCATTCTTCTTTCTTTTCAGATTCCAGAAGGTGACCCAGGGTATGTATTCATTGTTCTGTGGTTTCCAATAATCTGGTCATGTGTCTAAGGGCTCTGTGAGGAGAAGGTGCTTTTCAAGTAACTTCTAAATAGTGGAAAAGGTGAAGGAGGATCAGACATTAAATTTACAAGAGGGACCCTCTTCTAAAAGGATTTAGTGATTTTCTTTTTAGTTCAGATATAAAAGGGTTATTTTATCACAGTAAACAGACGGGAGTTTTTGGCTGTTCAGAGTAGAAGTGAAAATTAATTTGCTGCATGACCAAAATTGCTTTTGAATAACATGGTTCTGCCTTGGGGAAGATTTATAATCCTTAGATTGAGAGACTATAGTTTCTAAGGCTATCCCTGTCTTTGTTAAATAAGCACGGATGGCTTTATGGGTTTTTTTTTAAGTAAGCATATGTAGGCCATCAAAAATCTCATAACCAATGGATTCAAGGCCAAAAGGTTCAACATTTTACAGGTCTTCTGTGTTGAGACCTGTGATGCTTTCATTGTCTTTTCAGTAAAAGGAGCAAGTTAAACTAGTCTTGAAATCCTTAATAAATTATTATCCATTACGTAAATTTTATAAATCTGTTAATCCAGTTAGCACATTCCAGTGAAAAATAAATTCAGTATCTTGTGTTTATATTTAATTTTGTAGTTTTGGGTATTTCAGCAGTAAATAATTCTGATAATCCCTGGCATTGTGTAACTTTCAAGTCCTTGACTAAAATGTGTTTTTTTTAATCAGAAGGGAGGATTTCTTTTAAGATTAGCAGAGTCTGGGTAATTGAGAAAATCTTATGTAGCTCTGGTTAGCTCTAATTTTGTCTACTGGTTGTATAACGACACAGGAACACAAACCCAAATCTGTCACTGAGGCTAGATGGAACTAAATCCTCCCATTTTATTATAACACTTTTTTGTATTTTCTTTGTCATATCCTGATATAAACTGCACACAAATTCTGTTCTCCACAGCAGTTCTGATTTAAATATACGCGTTGTCAATGTAAATGGGTTGTTTTAAAAAAAAAACATTACTTTAATGAATTAATGAAACAAGTAATTGACATTTTTCCAGATTTTTTTAAAAATTAAATCTTTGAATTGTGTCAGAATAAACATATGGGTCATAAACAGGGACATGTGAATAAAACTTACTATGCACCAGAAGTTGTGTCTTATGATTCTAACATCACTGTTTAAGTCGGGGCTCTGTCATTGATTGAATGGGGTTTCCCAAACAGTATGGTCTGGGTCTAGCGCCACCTGGCTGTAGTCAGCCGGAGGATTCCCTGCACGCTGGGACTTGCTGGACACCTGCACCAGGTGAGAGACACTTCACTCTTCAAACCTGCGCGGGTCCTGCTGTGATCCTTGGTGTCGCTCACAGCGTGAGAAAGCGCCGATGGCTCTGACGAGTGTGTTTTGAGGAAGGAAGTGTGCAAGGTCTTCATCTCCCCGGTGCAGGAGTAAGGCTGATCTGTCTGTAGTATTCTCCAAAACTGACGGGAAAAGGGAGACCTAAATAAATGGGTGATTGGATATTAAAAAAAAAAAACAGATCTGCATTTGAAAAGGAGATGTGTGAAGGTCTGCAACATAGCTGACATAGCCAGTCTTTCAGCATTGCAGTTACATCTTTTCTTTTTTTTTCAAGCAGAAGACGGCATACGAGATCTAACTGGGTGACTGGAGTTCAGACGTGTGCTCTTCCGATCCTGGGTCCGTTACAGTACATGATCTGGAGGAAG